TCTGTGTGTGTGTGAATCTGTGTGTGTGAGAGTCTGCGTGTGTGTGTCTGTGAGTCTGTGTGTATGAGTCTGCATCTGTATGTGAGAGTCTGTTTGGGTGAGTGTGTGCGAGTCTGTGTGTGTGAATCTGTGTGTGTGAGAGAGTCTGCGTGTGTGTGTGTGTGTGTGTGTGTGTGTGTGTGTGTGTGAGAGTCTGTTTGTGTGTGAGTCTGTGTCTGTATGTAAGAGTTTGTGTGTGAGTCTGTGTGTGTGTGAGAGAGTGTGTGTGTGTGTGTGAGTCCGTGTGTGTGAGAGTCCGTGTGTGTGTGTGTCTTTGTGTGTGTGAGTCTTTGTGTGTGAGAGAGTCTGCATGTGTGTGTGTGTGTGTGTGTGTGTGTGTGTGAGAGAGTCTGCGTGTGTGAGTGTGTGTGTGTGTGTGTGCGTGTGTGTGTGTGTGCGTGTGTGTGTGTGTGCGTGTGTGTGTGTGTGCGTGTGTGTGTGTGTGCGTGTGTGTGTGTGTGCGTGTGTGTGTGTGTGCGTGTGTGTGTGTGTGCGTGTGTGTGTGTGTGCGTGTGTGTGTGTGTGCGTGTGTGTGTGTGTGCGTGTGTGTGTGTGTGCGTGTGTGTGTGTGTGCGTGTGTGTGTGTGTGCGTGTGTGTGTGTGTGCGTGTGTGTGTGTGTGCGTGTGTGTGTGTGTGCGTGTGTGTGTGTGTGTGTGAGTCTGTGTCTGTATGTAAGAGTCTGTGTGTGTGAGAGAGTCTGCGTGTGTGTGTGTGTGTGAGTCTGTGTCTGTATGTAAGAGTCTGTGTGTGTGAGAGAGTCTGCGTGTGTGAGTGTGTGTGTGAGTCTGTGTCTGTATGAGAGAATCTGAGTGAGAGTCTATATGTGTGAGTCTGTGTATATGAAAGTGTGTGTGTGTGAGTCTGTGCTTCATATTTTTGTGGAAATGGTGAATCATTTTATTTTTCAGGATTCACAGATGAACAAAAAGTTCAAAAGAACAGCATTTATTTGAAATAGGATCTTTTGTAACATTATAAATGTCTTAACTGTCACTTTAATGCATCCTTGATGAATAAAAGTATTAATTTCTTTCAAAAAAAAAAAAAAACTTTGAACGGTAGTGTATATATTAGTGTATATATTTTTATCTCAGGAAGTATCTCAGCATGATCTGGTCTCTCCGCAGCGGTGCTGATCTCTTAGCAGTGAACTCAGATGGTAACATGCCCTATGACCTCTGTGAGGACGACCCCACGCTCGACATCATCGAGACCGCCATGGCCAACCGAGGTGAACCTCAGATCCTCCAATCACTGAGGACGACTGTGCTGATGTCATCAGACGTTTGCTTTATTATACGAGTTTGTTTTAGAAGATTAGGAATCAGAATTAGGGCGAGAACGGTGTGCTTCATAGTGCAGATTTTAGCATTCAAGTAGCAGTTCTCATCACTGAACGACGAGATGAGATTTGGAAAGATTAGATTTCTCCATTCTGATTCTTACTGCGATTTATGACAAACACTGAACAAAATAGAAACAACATTAAAATTCATCAGCCAGCAGTCAGTCTAACAGTGAGTTCTGAGTCACTGAACAAATGTAGTTTACTGAAAGATGAAGATTTATTCATCTTGACGTTATTTGAATGTTCTTCTCGTCACATTTCACTGTTAATTTTAAAAGTAATGCATTACATTATTGTGTTACTCCATTAAAAAAAGTAACTAATTGCATTACTTAGTTACTGCACTTAGTTCTGCACTTACTCCCGATTTCTCTCAACACGAGGACAGGAGAAATGTCAGAAAATAAATGGGAAAGCAAAGTTACTCGCGTAACTTATTTGAAAAAATAACTCCGATATTTTCTTGTAAATTTAAAAGTAATGCATTGCTTTACTAGTTACTTGATAAAAGTAATCTGATTACATAACTTGCATTACTTGTAATGTGTTACCCCCAACACTGGATGTTTCAGCTTCATTGCAATCATTTATTTCCCAGTGTTTGATGATGTGCTATTATCTGTGCCTCACGGCTTCAGCCAATCACAGTCTGAATCAGATCAGCTCTTCCCACTCTCTGTTTGATTGACAGCTGTATTGACCAATCATTGTGTGTATGACAGGCATCACGCAGGAGATGATCAATGAGATGAGGGCAGCGGTGGAGAGGAGGATGCTGGGAGATATTCAGAACCTTCTGCAGGACGGAGCCGACGTCAATCAACACGACTCCCAGGGGGCCACGCTGGTGCGTATACACACACACACTTATACACACACACACGCACACACTCTCACACGCACACACACACACGCACACGCACACACACACACACCCTCACACAGATATGTGTCCAGTGCTGGCAAAATGAGTCACAATGAGCAAATTTTCAAAAATGAGTTATTGTTATTTTTAACATTCTCTATTAAAAGACCTTCAAAATGATGTATGATTTGTTGAAATCGGGTCGATGGTGTCAGCAAAGTCAATTTAGAGACAAACTGATTTAAAGTTTTCTGAATGTTCCAAAGCAAAATCACCGAGCAACATTACATCTTTTATCTTAATAATCATTACTAGATTATTAATCACAATATAGCTATTTTTTATTTTATGCTTGTTGTTATAAATGAGAACCGATGCAAAAAATAAACAAATATAAGAAAGAAGTGTATTACCTACTTTTTTCATTTTACATCTAATCATAAGCATTCAAGTAAGAAAATCAAATAGTACAATGTAAAAATCACTTACAGTAAGTGTGTTCATTAAAAATAAATTGATTATTAAAACTACAAAAGCATTTCAGTCAAGCAGCGAGTGATTCCCTCTTTTTCACATATATTCTCTTTGCATGATGAACATTAAATTTTATTAAATGCTCATTTCAGCATTTAAAATACTTGCATTGCTTATTGTTGCAGTTAGTGCATTATGTTAATTATGTTAATGCATTAACTAATGGGACTAAAATGTTGCCTATTTATTTATATAGTTAGAGTTGAAATAATTCCTATACATTTCTCCTGTGAATCTAATTGATACTTTTTGGTGTAATAACATTGAGTTTATTCATATAGAGCTTTTCACGATTCACATAGTTTTCAAAGCAGCTTTACAGACAATCATGATGTTAATGTTTAAAATATTAAAATATCTTCATGGCTTATAGTTGCAATCTTCAGATCAGAATAAAAGTGTTGCTGATGGTTGTAACAGCTGTGTGTGGAGCTGAAGTGAGTGTTGAGTTGTTAGTGTTTTTGGAGAGGTTGATTATGTTCTGTAAATGACTGAAGAACTAGATTCTTATTCACAGCAGCAGCCTTTTCTTGTTTTCTGAGTTTTCCAGCGTGAGTGTGATCAGGGTTAATGCAGCAGCACTGATTCACAGCTCTGCTGTCTGTTCATCATTCAGATACGAGACGCTTTTACTGGAGCTTTGTATCAGTGTCACATAATGCATCCTGTGACGCGCTGAGTGCTCATGTATTTATGATGATGCTGAAGCTGCTGAATGAAAGCAAACAAATGAGATGAACTGGAGACTTTCAGAATGAACATCACAACATGCTAAGCTGATGTTTTCATCAGACACGTCCCGCTCCTGTTTGCTTTAGTCTAGTGATCGGCCTCATGGAGATGGATCCGCCCAGAGTCAGACTGATGTGTGTTTCAGTGCTGGTCCTGATGGATGATAAAGTTTCCATCTGCAGTAGTTAACGTTGCATGTCTAATTCTTATTATTGTGTAAACACTCCTGTATCTGTGAGTTCTCATTTGGGTCATGATATGTTTATGGGTGTGTGTGTGTTTTCAGCTGCACATCACAGCAGCGAACGGTTACGCACAGGCTGCAGAGATGCTGTTGGAGGGAGGAGCCAGAACAGACATGAGGGATTCTGACGGGTGGACACCGTTACACGCTGCGGCATGCTGGGGACAGGTACACACACACACACACACAGGTTTGTTTTTGTGAAAAGTGGGGACATCCCATAGGCGTAATGGTTTTTATACTGTACAGACCGTATATTCTATTGCCCTACACCAACCCTACCCCTAAACCTCCCCCTCACAGGAAACTTTGTGCTATTTCAGATTTTCAATACACTCCATTCTGTGTGATTTATAAGCGTTTTGAAAAGTGGGGACATGGGGTAATGTCCTGAAAAGTCACCTTCTCCTTGTAATACCTATGTCATACCTTTGTCATTATACAAATTTATGTCCTCATTTCTCACAAAAACGCGCACACACACACACACACGCACACGCACGCACACACAGTCAACATACACACGCATGCATGCACACACACACACACACGCACACGCACGCACACACAGTCAACATACACACGCATGCATGCACACACACACACACACGCACACGCACGCACACACAGTCAACATACACACGCATGCATGCACACACACACACACACGCACACGCACGCACACACAGTCAACATACACACGCATGCATGCACACACACACACACACGCACACGCACGCACACACAGTCAACATACACACGCATGCATGCACACACACACACACACGCACACGCACGCACACACAGTCAACATACACACGCATGCATGCACACACACACACACATACACACACACACACGCACACGCACGCACACACAGTCAACATACACACGCATGCATGCACACAAACACACCACACATAGTCGATATACACGCATGCATGCACACACAGTCAACATACACACACATGCACACAAACACACACACAGTCAACATACACACGCATGCATGCACACAAACACATACACACGCATGCATGCGCACACACACACACACACACACATACACACATACAGTCAACATATACGCGCGCACACACACAGTCAATATACACACGCATGCATGCATACACACACACAAACACACACAAACAAACACACAGTCAACATACACACGCATGCATGCACACACACACACATACACACACATGCATGTGCACACACACACACCACACATAGTCAATATACACAAGCACACGCATGATAGACTCGACGCATCAGACTCATAACTCTCTAATAATAATGCTAATGAATTCTGCTAGAAGTAACACTAATGAATGATAAAAATTCCTCCTGCAGGTCCATGTGGCCGAGCTGCTGGTTTCTCATGGTGCCAATCTAAACGCCAAGACGTACATGGAGGAGACACCCATAGGTACAAAGAATGAACCTGATGAGACTCTAATAACGATAAAAACACCTGACTGAACATCATCCGCAGCACATCCATATATGCATGGACATGTTGATTTGAGTAGATTAGCTTAAAATCTTTACCAGTGTTGGGGAAGTAACTAGTTATATGTAACAGAATTACGTAATTTAATTACAAAATAAAAGTCATTGTAATCAGTTACAGTTACTGATATGTGTAATTAAATCACAGTTACTTATGAAAATGTTAAGAATTACAAATGAGGTTACATCTTAATTTTTTTCACACAAACTTTCTTTCATAAATTGCATTAACTGCTTTAAAATATGAAACACCAATGTTTCAGGAGTTTGGAACATGCTTATTCGATAACTCTTATTTCCTATATGACTATGTTTAGGCAGAGCCTGAGCAATATGACATCACACTGCTAAAAAAATGGCTTGATAATTGAGACTGTTTATGTTTTTGGGGGATTAAAAAAAAGGAGTGATTTTTTAATCATTGTAGGGTGGTTGTGTCCACACACTGCTAAGATACATTTATATCCAAACACCATGTAAAAGTGAATTTTGCATTCAATGTCTCCTTTAAAATTGAAACATTATAATCTTAATTCAAGTGATGAAGGATTCTGAAAGTCTGACAGTAATCAGTGTTGAGTACTGTACTACTGTAAGGTTAACCCGGCCTGTTTGAAAATGATTAACTGTTGAAAACATTAGAAATTTAGAAAAGTAATCAAAAAGTAATCTAAAAGCGTGTTTTCATCTTATGACTCGTGTCGCTCGGTCTCTATAGGACAAATAAATGAATACACCTCAGTAAACACACTAAAACCCAGGAGCATTAATTATGTGTGTGTGTGTGTGCAGATCTGTGTGAGGATGAGGAGTTCAGGAATCATCTGCTGGAGTTGAAGCACAAACACGACATCATCATGAAATCACAGCTGAAGCACAAGACGTCACTGTGCCGCCGGACCAGCAGCACGGGGAGCCGCGGGTACATCACACGCGCACACGCACACACACACACACACACACACACACACACACACACACTCACTCACATGATGCTAACTGATAGCTTTCTCCAGCTACTATAGATATCACACACACACACACACACACACACACACACACAAACGTACTGTATATGACACCTGCTGGCCGTTGATGATCACTGCACATGCTTATGTTTCGTCAGTTAACTGGTGACATTGCATAGAATTGTATTGTTTTCATCATACACTACCAGTCAAAAGTTTTTGAACAGTAAGATTTTTATTGTTTTTTAAAGAATTCTCCTGCTCACCAAGCCTGCATTTATTTGATCCAAAATACAGCAAAAGCAGAAATATTGTGAAATAGTTTTACTATTTAAAATAACTGCTTTCTATTTGAATATATTTTAAAATGTAATTTATTCCTGTGATTTCAAAGCTGAATTTTCAGCATCCACCTCTGGGAACAAATTTGTCCTCAAAATATGGTCAAATAGGCACACACACACTCACTCACTCACTCTGTGACAGCACTAATTATTATTATTATTATTATTATTATTATTAGGGCTGGGCGATATGGCTAAAAAAATTATCACGATGTCACGATTAAAATTATCACGGTAATTTTCCCCATATCGGTCGATAATTATCACGATAAATGTCAAATTTTTTATTTCTTTTAAGTTTAAAGGCAGAATTTTGCAAACAGGTTTGTGTTGCCTGATAATATTAATATAACATTTTTTTTTGTCTCTTAGAAATACACATTTAATAGTAGCTTGAGATAAGATGCAGATGTAGATTTATGTTCATTATCAAAATCAGTAATATCTGTAAAAATGGTAGCAATCTCATTTTTATATGGTGACATTTAATTATTCTGACTGTTTAAGGTGTTTTTTAATAATTTATTCCTGTGATTTCAAAGCTGAATTTTCAGCATCCACCTCTGGGAACAAATTTGTCCTCAAAATATGGTCAAATAGGCACACACACACTCACTCACTCACTCACACTCACTCACTCTCACACACACACACACACACACACACACACACTCACACACTATGATAGCAATCTTTTTTTTTATCCATTGGTCTTCCATAGTAGCATACATTTAGATCATTATAATCACAGTTAAAACCACAAATATAGCACCTCAATACCATGGTAAAAATGTAATATGGCTTCTAGGTATTATTATTATTATTATTATTAAATGTAAAAATCTAACCTTTATTGAACCTGTGTCATGGCCAATATAGGCAGCCCAAATAACTTGCACACATGCACACAAAACCTATACAAACACCAAACATGCAACATTAAATAATATATATATATATATATATATATTATTTAATAATTAATTTTAAATACTAGCATTTTAGCAAAAGTAATATCTTAGATTTTTTCATATTAATACAGTCCATTTATTCTTTCAATCACGGGTATGAACCCAGTCAACTTGAATATCATATTATTGCCACAATTCTATTAATATTATGAATATTAATAACACTCATAATTTTTATATGTATGCATAGTAGCAACAGTAATCTTTTTTGCACAAAAAAAATTCAACCCATTAACCTTTATTTTTTATTAATATTTTCACAACTTAAATTATTGTTGCATAATACATATCTTTTTTTTATATCAGCATTTTATTACACAACAAAGTACAGTGCAATTTACAGTAGTTTCTTCATGTCAAATCTGAGATGTTTTATTTGATATCATAATCAATATGTTCTGGACCACATATTACATATTTCATTAAAGGGGTCATCGGATGCACATTTTCCACAGGTCGCTATGATTCTTTAGGGTCTTAATGAAAGTCTATAACATACTTTGGTTAAAATTTCTCAATGGTAGTGTAAAAAACACCCTTTTTACCCTGTCAAAAACAGCTCTGTTCACAGCGAGCCGATTTGGTGCATGTCTCTTTAAATGCTAATGAGCTCTGCTGACACGGGTGAATTTTTATTATTATAGGGAGGCTGTGTCTACACACTGCCAACACACATTAATGTTCAAACAGCATGTAAAAGTGAATTTAGCATCTGGTGACCCCTTTAAAGCAGCACTATGTAACTTTTGGCGCTCTAGCGGTTAATAAACAGAACTGCACATATCCCGCTGAAGAACATTCCGACCGGAGCTAGTTCTCTAAGTTTATGTCTCTGGCGATTCACGCAGGTATGTGTTCCTCCACAGCGGTGACCAGGCTACAATAGTCCAAATATAAGTACTTATTAGAAGTGTACTGTAGTGATTCGGAAGCCTCCTGCTGGAGCTTCACAAACACATCAACGAACAAAAACTGCTCCATTTCCAAAGAATGCAATCGTTTGGTTTATAAATCAGTTTTAAACTGGTGTGTGTTCTTCTGTGGTGTCACTCTCATTGACTCCTCAGTAGTTCTCACACTCGTTTCTTCTCTCTGTGTGCAGGAAAGTGGTGCGGAGGGCCAGTCTGTCCGACAGAAACAATCTCTGCAGAAAGGAGTATCAGACCGAAGCCATCGTGTGGAGAGGAGGACGAGAAGAAGAGGAGCGAGAGCGAGAGTCTGATCAGGAAAACAGCCACTCGGTGAGTTCACTCACAAACCAAACTCAGAGCTCGTTCTCATTAGACACGCACTTTAGTACACTTTTATTATTATTATTAGCAACAGTAATATTTTTTGTTTAAATTAATTTCTTTAGCTTCACCCTTGTGCGGCCCATTAAAAGTCTTTTTTTTGGAACCCAGTCATATATTATTATTATTATTATTATTATTATTAATGCTGTCAAACGATTAATCGCGATTAATCACATCCAAAATAAAAGTTTTTGTTTACATAATATATGTGTGTAGTCATCGGATGCACATTTTCCACAGGTCGCTATGATTCTTTAGGGTCTTAATGAAAGTCTATAACATACTTTGGTTAAAATTTCTCAATGGTAGTGTAAAAAACACCCTTTTTACCCTGTCAAAAACAGCTCTGTTCACAGCGAGCCGATTTGGTGCATGTCTCTTTAAATGCTAATGAGCTCTGCTGACACGGGTGAATTTTTATTATTATAGGGAGGCTGTGTCTACACACTGCCAACACACATTAATGTTCAAACAGCATGTAAAAGTGAATTTAGCATCTGGTGACCCCTTTAAAGCAGCACTATGTAACTTTTGGCGCTCTAGCGGTTAATAAACAGAACTGCACATATCCCGCTGAAGAACATTCCGACCGGAGCTAGTTCTCTAAGTTTATGTCTCTGGCGATTCACGCAGGTATGTGTTCCTCCACAGCGGTGACCAGGCTACAATAGTCCAAATATAAGTACTTATTAGAAGTGTACTGTAGTGATTCGGAATAAGACAAAAACGCGGTTTGGAAGATGAATTCATGATGTACTCGCTCATTATATACATTTTGCAAATTTTGAAAACAGAAAAAGTTACATAGTGCTGCTTTAAAGAGATGGTTCAAACCAAAAAGATCATTCTCTCATCATTTACTCACCCTTGTGTCATTCCAAGCCCATAAGACTTTTTCATCTTCAAACACAAATGAATATATGTGACCCTGGACCACAAAAACAGTCATAAGGGTCCATTTTTCGAAATTGAGATTTATGCATCATTTATGCATCAAGCTTTCCATTGATGTATGTTTTGTTAGAATAGGACAATATTTGGTTGAAAATATGGAATCTGAGGGTGCAAAAAAATCAAAATATTGAGAAAATCATCTTTAAAGTTGTCCAAGGTTAAAAATGCAGTTTCAATGCAGCTTCAAAGAGCTCTACACGACCCCGGCCGAGGAATAAGAGTCTTATCTAGCCAAACGATCAGTAATTTTCTGAAAAACAATTATATTTATACACTTTTTAACCACAAATGTTCAGCTAGCGTTAGCTCTGCGATGCGTGTCTTTATTAGCTGATGTTGGAAAGATCAGGCATGACGTAAGCGGATCCAGTGTTTACACAAAAGTCAATGACTTTACAAAACTTGAACATCTTGGATGACACGGGTGTGAGTAAATGATCAGGACATTTTTATTCTGGAAGTGGACTAATCCTTTAAGGTGCTTTCGCACCGGAGGAAGCTTTCCATAGGAACTATGAACTATGGAACTAACGTTCTAGGAACTATGGAATGCTTCCTATTGAGCCAATCGCAGGATCCCGAGCGTCTGATTGGCTGAAACCCATCGGTGCTTTTATTTCTCATTCCAGACCTGGAAGTCTGAAGAGGTGTTTGGGATGAGCCCTCTCTGAACTGGGAACTTCTCAAAGCGGAAGGAATGATCTCCTTCAGGCTTCCCAGGTTAAGTGTGTGACTTATGCTTCTCTATTTCACTTCCAGCAGCAGATCGAACAACAGACGATTCCTTCCAGCTGTGTAATGTACAGTATTTATTTGTATATGTGCATAGAGCCACTCTTCTATAAGATTATTTATTGTATTCCAGAGAGATGAAGTGACGGACGGAGCACAAACGAGTCAGTATTTTTCTATGACAGTGTTATAATGACCAGATGAAGTATTTGAACTCACATTTCAAACTCAAATCACAAGAACATAATAGCCGGTGATATTTTTTGCATCGTGACATTATTTTCATGACAGTTCAACAAAAAAAAAAGCTGCAGGAAAAATAACGGTAATTTCATTTAAATCAGCAGTGCAGTAAATACTAACATGATGCATAAATGCTAAATAATTTAAATAACATAAATTAATTTTTTCCATTATAGTCATGTTACAGACATTTTTTTGTGAGATTTTGTGAAACGCTTACTGTTATGAAAATGTCACAGTGCAAAAAAAATAAAAATAATTTGTGGCCCTGCAGCACAAAAGCAGTGTTAAGTCGCTGGGGTATTGCATAAATATCAATTTAAAAAAACTGACCCTTATGACTGGTTTTGTGCTCCAGGGTCACATTTTTTAGTTCTTTTGATGTGAAATATGACCCAGATGTGTTTATATGAAGGAAGTGTTGATCAGAACCCTTCATATACTGCTCCCTATGAAGGGTTCATTTATTTAGTTGGATCCGCTCGATTGTGACGCTCTGCTCTCGGGTGCCAAAGTCTTCCAGAGTGATGGACGTCAGAAACGGCCAATGAGGTTCCAGTGCCACTCCCGTAGCCCCGCCCACTCCTCAGCACTCGCTGCATTCATGCGTCAGAGGCGGGAAAGAATGTAAATAATGCTTGGAATGCGTTTTCTTCAGATGATGAAAGGAGTGATTACAGACATGCACGGTATTCTGAAACTGAAATATGAATAGAGTTCACATATGAGGAGTTCGGCTTCCATTTCTACTGAGGAACGTGAAGGGAAAAGAGCATCACAACTACTGATTTTATAATTTACTGGAATATACTGATCACTGTATTAACATATTTTCAATAAATTGTATATTTTGATCCGTTTCTAAACCTTTTCTGTCATCAGTGCTAAATGAAGTCTGTGATCAATCCATCGCTGCACGGATCTCTGGGGTTGTTTGTGAAAAGCACAGACTGATGTTAAAGGAAGTGATTATTGAGTCATCAGCGTGTTTAGAGTCTGCTGGCTAATGATCAGCTACAGTGAGTCAGCAGTGAACGACCGATGAGGAGGAAAACACAGAAACATGTGCTCACTGTCAATACTGATTCAGTCTGTTTCCATCAGCTGAAGTCTTGTTCCTGCTCGGTCAGCCTGATTTCAAACTTTACATTTACATTTATATCTACATTTATTCATTTAGCAGATGCTTTTATCTGAAGTCACTTACAACTGAGTATACATACAGTATATACAGCAGTCAACATTTGAAGTGGATCAAAACCTTCCATCAAAGTTGTCCTAAAACCTAAAACCAAAATGCGTTCTTGTCTTAAGACAACTTTGATGAACATTTTAGATCCACTTCAAATGCTGACTACTGTATATATATATATATAATATGAAAATTAACTTTACTTTTTAAAAAATGCTAAAATATGACATATGATCCAGACATAATTTCCTTATAGAATAAAACAAAATTGCATTCAGATAATTAATTATCATGAGAATAATGTGAAAAAAAAAAATAATCTTGTTAGTCCTGAAATAGGCTTATGGGGAAAAAAATATACACACACACACACACACACACGTATATGGAGTGTCTTTATTCCTGCTCTGTGATCCTGGTTTTAAATTCTAAATTACATTTATATTTAATATATATAATGCTAAAATATGACATGTTACTTGCAGAATAAAACAATTTCATTGCATAAAGGGGATTAATTATCATGAAAATGTGTTATGTTTTTAAAGTATCTTCTGCTCATGCAATTATTTGATAAAAAATACAGAAAAATCTAAAATATTGTGAAATATTATTACAATTTAAATCAGCTGTTTTCTCTGTGAATCTCTGTTAAACTGTAATTTATTTCTGTGATGCGCAGCTGTATTTTCAGCATCATTACTCCAGTCTTCAGTGTCACATGATCTTCAGAAATCATTCTAATATACTGATTTGCTGCTCAAGAAACATTTCTGATTATTATCAATGTTGAACACAGTTGTGCTGCTTATTTTAATAACAAGTTTAAAAGAACAGCATTTATTTCAAACAGAAATCTTATATCAAAATCTTGTAGTAAAATTCTGTGCACTACCGTCCAAAAGTTTGGGGTCAGTAATTTGTTTGTTTCTTTCTCTTTTTTTTTTGAAAGAAATCAATGCTTTTATTTAGCAAGGGTGTGTTAACTTGATAAAAAGTGATAGTAAAGATTGTTGTTAGTAGTAAAAAATATTGTTAGAAAAGATTTCTGCTTTGAATAAATGCTGTTCTTTTGAACTTTTTATTAATCCAAACTTTTGAATCGCAGTATATAGAATTTGATATCTTATAATATTGGTTTATTAATACTGGTTTATTCTCTGTTCTCTTGGCGTGTTTCTGTGAATATAGATGATGCAGGTCAAGCACAGGCTCAAACTCTAGAGCAGAAAAACAACGCTCTGTTTTCTTTTGGGGTTTTTAATGAACCGCTTGTCTTGTAGATTCAAATAGCAGAGGAGAATGACTCTCAGTAGGAAACATTAGTTACTAAACAGATAAACAAAGGCACAGCTTGAGTGAATGTGGAGGAGGATGTTACACACACTTATACACACACACACACACACACACACACTCAAAAACACACACAGACTCAAAAACACACTCTCACACACATAGACTCAAAAACACACACTTCTGGCGGTCACTGTGTGATTCTCTGTGTGTTTTTTTCTCTCAGATAGTGAATAAACTGCAGCGACTGGCCTTTCTAAAGCTTCTCTATCTCATGAAGCAGCTCTGAGTCGAGGGTGTGACTCCATCCGGCCGTTTCCAGTCGTTGATTCTCGTCTTTTGTTGAGCCTCGATGGTGGAATAATCTCCTGAACTCCACCCGAGCAGACGAGTCCCTCACAATGTTCAAGAAACGCCTAAAACTTTGAGCATTCATTCATTCAGTGAGTCTGAGCTCTTTGTTTATTCTGTGGATAAAAGCTTCTGCTAAATCCATGAAAACAGATAATAATATTCACAATGAGGAACATCAATCATCATGTGCTGACATCTCAACTAACGCTTCAACAGCAATGTTTGATAGTGTTTTGAACAAACTAAATCAAACCGAATGTGGCAGATGCATGTTGAAGTATTAGCTCAGATATGAATACATTCATATTTATGTATCTTATTGTAAAGAACTACCTATAATGTTATAATGCACCGATCTGCTTGTGAAATGTGATGATTGTGGTCTGATGGGTTTTTATTGCTCAACAAGTGTAAGAGTTGGGGTTTGTTTGATTGCCCAACAGAGCTTTATGTTCAAGCTTGTGCAAGACATTCATAACAATACAGGAAGGATTTTCAGCTTACTGTTTTTTATTAAAAGACACATTTTGAATTATTATCTGTCAGCATTGCTCCATCAAACACACGTCGTTTCCAGCAGGAGTTTAACGCAGAAGATGTTGTGCTTTGATCAAAGGCCTTCAGTGACTCTGATGATTGTGTTTGTGCTGATGGAGAATCTGATGCTGAGAGACAACTAAAACAATACATTTATAATGTTACAGTAGGTTTCGAATAAATGCTGTTTTTATGAGCTTTCTATTCATCTGTGAATCCTGAAAAATAAAATGCATCACAGTACCCACAAAAATATTGTGCAGCACAACTGTTTTCAACATTGATAATAATCAGAAATGTTTCTCGAGCAGCAAATCGGCATATTAGAATGATTTCTGAAGATCATGTGACACTGAAGACTGGAGTAATGATGCTGAAAATACAGCTGCGCATCACAGAAATACATTACAGTTTAACAGATATTCACATAGAAAACAGCTGTTTTAACTTCTATAACATTTCACTATTTTATTGTATTTGTTTTATCAAATAAATGCAGCTTTGGTGAGTAAGAGACTTTTTTTCAAAAAATATAAAAAAATCTTACTGACCCCAAATTTTGAAAAGTAGTATATTGTACTGACAGATAATAAAGAAATTTGGAATAATAATAAATTAACACCCATACAGAAATTTTTTTTATATACAATATATATATATATATATATATATATGTGTACATACATATATATTTCAAAATATACAAATGGCCAAAAATATATTTGTTAAAACATATTTCAAAAAATATATTTCTGTACATATAATTTCTACAAATATATTTTGATATAAAATATATTTGCACATTTAAAATACATTAAAAAAAAAACATTTTTATATATTTTTGAAAATATATTTTAAGCATATAAAATTTTTTTTTTTACCTCTATATATTTCAGTCCAAGAAAATGCATTTTCTTGCCCCAGAAATACATTTTGGAATATGAAGGTTGAAACTAAATATATTTTCTATTTCATATTTATTTCATTGAGCTTTCCTGTTTGCAACATATATTTAGCATATATTTCAAATATATTTTGGCCACATATTTTTGCCATATGGGCAACAACAACAACATAATCAACAACAGCAACAATAATTGTTATACCTTTATTTAACCAGGCAGGTATAGGCTAATTTAAAAACAAGGTTTTTAAGAGGATTCTTACTTTTGAAGGAAGGAAATAAATTCAAATGCATCCAGACACATGACGATGATTTCAAACAAATTGATTTGAATGAGGAACAAACGTCAGAATATTTGGGAGTGACGCATGATCATATGTGTATCATGTGCTGATGATGCGCTGACTCAGTTTCTGCTCTGACCAAACAAACACAGCTATCACTAAAACAAACACTGGCTGTGTCTCTCCACTGATCAGAGATCATCAGTCTGATGCATGCGTGATGCACGGATCTCATCAGGTGTGTGTGCATCTCTCAGTCTGTCCTTCAGCTTCAGTCAGCGGGTGAAGTGTCACAGATGTGCAAACCGTACTATTTAAATGAGGGAGGAAAGTTTCACCACATCCTGTGGACGCAAGTATGACGCAGAATTACAAGCAGCAAATGACTACAGTGCACTGCTCATAATACACACTGCAGCTTCACTGATGCTGGCCCTGAGCTCACATCAGTCCCGCAGGGGTCAGTTTCATTCCTGAGCAATCTGCCGGAGCGATTAGACAGAGACAGAGATTGTTTTACAAACGCATCTCAAGAGCAAAAGACAGTTTACAGACTGCTCAGATTACACAGCTCTTCAGTGTCATTATTGGGAAGGTTACTTCGGAAATGTTGCAGATTACAAGTTACCCTGTTTACAATGTAACAAGTAGTGTAACTATTTCAATTACTTTGTTAATGTAACAGATTACTTTTCTAAATTTCGAATGTTTTAGAACATTTACACCAGGCAGTGTTAACCTTAACAGATTTAAAATCATAACAAGAAATAATTTAATAGCTATGCATGTACGTTACATTAATTTACTTACTATATAGTTAGGGTTACTTGCATGTAATTATAATGCATCATTTATAATAGTAAGTATATGTAACGTGTAACAAGGACACCTTAAAATAAAGTGTTACCCATTTATTTTCAAATTAAATTATGTAATTCTGTTACATGTAACCAGTTACTCCCCAACACTGCTCATTAAACAAGACTTGGGTAGATTGGGGGAAAACACCCCCCTTAAGGACTGTCATTTTTTTCTGTGAAACAAAAGTTAAATGTGTTCAGAAAACTTAAAAGTATAAAATCAGAATAGCCTATTTGAAAAATGTTGTTAGCTAATGCTGACTAGCTAACTAGCTAACTGATGCTAACTTTAGGTAATTTTAAACATAAAGCCCAAATATTTTTATTCAACCAACTAGTTAGAATGCATTTGATGGAAAAACAAAGGATTTGATGTTCAGAACAGAATAACTACAATAATTGCCCCCCGGGGCGTTTTACCCCACTGACTATGCTTGAGAATAATTTATGTTTTTTTCTGAACATATAATTACATTTTTCTTAAATAACACGTGCTCCCTTTCTACAGGCGCTACTGTTCTCATATCACATGTGTCTCTGCAGCACAAAAGCAGTCTTAAGTCGCTGGGGTATATTTGTAGCAATAGCCAACAATACATTGTATGGGTCAATATGATACATTTCTCTTTTATGCCAAAAATCATTAGGATGTGAAGTAAAGATTATGTTCCATGAAGATATTTTGTAAATGTCCTACTGTAAATATATCAAAACTTAATTTTTGATTAGTAATATGCATTGCTAAGAACTTCATTTGGACAACTTTAAAGATGATTTTCTTAATATTTAGATTTTTTTGCACCCAGATTTTCAAATAAATATTGTCCTATTCAAACCACACATCAATGGAAAGCCTATTTATTCAGCTTTCAGATGATGCATAAATCTCAATTTAAAAAAACGGACCCTTATGACTGGTTTTGTGCTCCAGGGTCACATATATAACTGTGATGTTCTACAAAACAACAAGCTTTAAAACACGTGTTTTCTTACTGCTGAAAATGATAATTGACATAGAAATCCGTTTTCTCTCAGATGCATCACCAGTGTAAGCTTCTACATCACTCTCGTCAACGGAGCCCATAGTTACAATACAACAGTGTCTTGCACCTGCTGCTGCTCGCAGGTGATGCAACTCTCGACTGCGTTCAGAACGCTCTCAGTGCGCGCGAGGGTGTTTTGAACGGAGGGAGGCGGGTCTTCGCGGACTGATCACCGATCAGCTGAGGCTCGTCACGCTCACGCTCGTATCATATGTAGCGTTATTCCCGTCTGTGTGTGTCGGAGCGATGTTTCGCTGTCGGAGGAACGCTTCTGGAGCGGCTTTATTACTGCAGCGTCTGCAAGTAACGTTACTTGACGCGAGCCGCTCGTTGCGTAACTACCGCTGCTCTCGTGTTTACCGGAGATTAACGGCAAGCAAAACCGTTCTATTCCGTTCCCGTTTGCACGAGACTCCGTTCGGATCGCCGCCGGATCTCGTTGCTCACGCGCGAATGGCGGCGTTCGCTTTGAACGTTCGCCAATACAGCGACGCGAGGAGCGGCGATCGGAACGTTCTTAAACTCAGTGAACTCGAATCGTTTCGTTCTTCAGCTCCTGTCGCGATCCAGTCGAGACGATCATCCACGACGCCCGAGAAAACGCAAGACGAACGCGCCGCTAGCATTACGCAAACGGTACGTCAACTCTTCTGGAGTTCTGATGGAACTGTTGCTGCTTGTTTGTTGTTTATTAACATCTCCAGCACTGACAGGTGGATGCAGCGGGCTCTTGAACGTGTTGTATGGTGTGCGGAACGCTTGCAGAGTCAAGCACACTTTGTTTCGTTCCGAGCGTTCTTCATTCAACGGGTTGCATCATGTGTTTACACTCGAGCTCGTTTCTTCTCAATGCTTATATTGTTGTGATTTGACTTCCTCAGTCTGGATACAGAAACTCTTCCTCGAGGTTACTACAAACTCTCTGTTCTGCTGAGCGCTGTTTGGAGCGCTGAGGCCGTGTATTTCTGCACGCATGCATTGCTGTATTTGTGAGTTATTTGGTAGAGGATTGAATAGCATGGTATTCTGGGCTGCTGTGGTAATGCTGTGCTGTTGTTATCATCAGGGTTATCGTGTCAGACGGATCATCGTGTTTGCATTGACTGGTTTGTCTAGTTCTACTTCAGCAGCTGATCTAGTAGTTAATCATCTTTCACTTTCACTGTTCTGTCAAACTAGAATGCAGATCATTCCAGCTGACACTGCTCTTCTGCTTTCTCTCTGTGTGTGTGTGCATGTGTGTTTGTTCTAGTGGATGGTGTGAGTAAAGCTCTAGTTTAATAACACTAGTCTTTGACTGTTGGTTGTGTTTGTTGGGGTCAGCTAGAGCTGTTGGGTTAGTCAGTGTTTGTTTCCTGGTCAAGGGTCACACACGACCTTCACACGTCATCTGCTTCCTTCCTTTGACTTTAGCTTCATGAATTCTATTTAATTTCATATACAATTCATTTTGAGTGTACTGTTTATTGCACACACAAATCTGGTTCCCAAGGCAGGGTTGCAAACTTTCGCAAACTTCATATAAAGAGTCCGTTTGACTTCAGCCTTTCTGAAGGTTTATCACGTCTTTGTCCAAAAACAAACATTCCTCAACAACGAGTTTCTAGCTGTTTTGTTCTCAATTTAATTTTCAGTTGTAAATAACTTTATTGGCTTGATTGTTTACATACAATGTTGCCAAAGCATTATACACGTACAATATTACAAAAACAAGCATACAACAGCAATAAAAAAAGATGCTAAATATAACATTTTCTGCTAGGTTATATGTATATAAGTATGTATGTGTATATATAATTTTATTGATTATGTAGCAATCATTAGATTATATATTAATTAATTTTGCCGTTTCATCTGAATATCAGCATTCATGAGATATAGTCAAAAGAGTTTTGAGGTTAACTGATCTAATTGTCTAATTGATCTATGATGTTTTATTGTGTTTAATGTCATAGTTTTTGTGTCTGTTTGTTAATGAGGGATTTTATTGTTTTTACATTTGTGAAGTAAAAATGATCCTTTTTTAAAAATAAAAGATAAAATTAAAACCTTTGGGGTGAGATGGGTCACCCAGAGTAGCATGTTGTTAAAATAATGTTATTTTTTAATTTAATATTTATGGTAATTGATGAGGTTATTATTCAGTATTTGCATGAATTAGATGCACATTTCAGCCATCTTTGCTTTCATTAAAAACTATAGGTTAATTGAGACATTTGTTAAAACATATTTTCAATTAATTTATAGGTAATTAAATATGTAAATATTCATATGCCATTTATTGTAAGCCATATAAAAAAAAATGTAACTTTCAGGTTCATCCGATTTGCTGGGATTCTGCATCAGTTACTCAGTCAAACTGTCAAAATACAATTTTAAAAGATAATAGTTAATTTAGTATTTTACACACACGCACACACACACACACACACACACACACACACAGTCTCTCACTCACTCTCTCACACACACACACACACACAGTCTCTCACTCACTCTCTCACACACACACACACACACAGTCTCTCACTCACTCTCTCACACACACACACACACACAGTCTCTCACTCACTCTCTCACACACACACACACACACAGTCTCTCACTCACTCTCTCACACACACACACACACACAGTCTCTCACTCACTCTCTCACACACACACACACACACAGTCTCTCACTCACTCTCTCACACACACACACACACACAGTCTCTCACTCACTCTCTCACACACACACACACACACAGTCTCTCACTCACTCTCTCACACACACACACACACACAGTCTCTCACTCACTCTCTCACACACACACACACACACAGTCTCTCACTCACTCTCTCACACACACACACACACACAGTCTCTCACTCACTCTCTCACACACACACACACACACAGTCTCTCACTCACTCTCTCACACACACACACACACACAGTCTCTCACTCACTCTCTCACACACACACACACACACAGTCTCTCACTCACTCTCTCACACACACACACACACACAGTCTCTCACTCACTCTCTCACACACACACACACACACAGTCTCTCACTCACTCTCTCACACACACACACACACACAGTCTCTCACTCACTCTCTCACACACACACACACACACAGTCTCTCACTCACTCTCTCACACACACACACACACACAGTCTCTCACTCACTCTCTCACACACACACACACACACAGTCACTCACTCACTCTCTCACTCTCTCACACTCATTCACTCTCACACTCTCACTCTCACATTCACTCACTCACACTCACTCACTCTCGCACTCACTCTCACACACTCACTCACTTATGTGAATCCTCACTCACTCACTCACTCTGCTCACAGCAGCACTGCACTCATTGGCTCTTGAGGGAGTCACTCCAGAGGTCCTGCATTCTGATTGGTTGTGGTCTGTTAAGCCCCTCCCAGTGAGGTCTTTTCAGCTTTCACAGGCCTGATGATGCTGAGGCTCGTGGGCCGCTTTCTCCTGATCGCACTGAATCTCTGTAGTCTGATGAAATCTTTCGTGTCTCAGCAGGATCAGGTGTCGTCTGTGTCCGGCGCTGAAGGTCAGAGGTCGGATGAGAAGCCCAGTAAGACGCAGCAGCTCAGGAAGGTGTTTAAGGAGTACGGCGCCGTCGGCGTCTCCTTCCACATCGGAATCTCGCTCATTTCTCTGGGAATGTTCTACCTCGCCATATCCAGGTCTGATTCATTTGTTTAACAAAACAGTCAACTCTATGTAATCAAATACACTATATGGACAAAAGTATACAGAGGCAGCGTCATGTTAGAATAGAAAAGGGTCCTGTCCAAACTGTTGCTATAAAATGTGAAGCACACAATTCCCTAGAATATCATTATATGCTTTAACATTAAGATTTGTACTCATGGAAATTACTAAAGTAATCAAACCTGTTCATTAGGAGGTGGTGTCCCAATACTTTTGTCCATATAGTGTATATATCTATGCAAATTCAATGTATACCACTTGTTCCATTGTTTTATTTTTTCCTATTTATTTTTTTAATACTACATAACTATTTTCTTAAGAATCAATTACAAAAATAAAGTAAAAAAAAAGTAAAACATTCATGTTATGTTTTGTTGGAATAGTCAACTATAACTAGTCCGCTTCTGCACTAATGTACCAAAGCTGTAAATCAACTACGGTTTAGTTAATAACCTGTTACGTAAATAATTATTGCAATGCTTATTATTAATGTAATTATTATTTTATTTGAGCCAGTGTTATTTTAGTATCATTGGAAGACTATTATAGTTTTTGTTAAAAATGTTCTGTTTTTATTTTTCTATTTTAATTTTAATTTTAGTTAAACTGAGTAGTTTTGTAGAATTGTATATGTCTATACAGTTTTTATTTAATTTTATTTTAGTTTTAGTTTCAGATATCTAAGGACATCAAGTTAAACTGAATTAAAATAAAAAGTGTTGCCTTTGCAAATAGCTGAAACAGTTTTTTAAAATTTATTTTGTTTCTGTTAACAATCATTTTTTTTCAAGTAATGAAAATGTTTTTGTTTTTATGGTTTTACTTTTACTCTCATTTTAGTTAACTTTAATAACCTTGGTGTCTTGCTCTTTTCTGTCATTTTTATAAAAGCAATAAACCACTTGTGGGTTGAAAATTAGTGATAGACTTATATTGGCTAATTCTAAAATACTATTTAAATTTTTCCCCATGACCAAATTTCACGTTTAATTAAGTGTGAAAAAAAACCACAATCACATCCACAATCACATCTTCACTTCACAATCACATCCACAATCACATCACAATCACAACCACAATCACATCACTTCACTTCACAATCACTTCACTTCACTTCACTTCACTTCACAATCACATCACTTCACAATCACATCACTTCACATCCACCATCACATCACTTCACATCCACAATCACATCACTTCACATCACATCACATCCACCATCACATCACTTCACATCCACAGTCACATCCACCAACACATGTTCACTTCACAATCACATCACTTCACTTCACTTCACTTCACTTCACATCCACAGTCACATCCACCATCACATCACTTCACATCCAC